CCCCCCCCCGCCGCACTACTGCCTGTAGGCAGACGTGGACGAACTCGCAAGATGTGAATTACTGGTCGTGTTCATTTTCTTGCACACGGCCGTGTGCAACAATAGCGTTGACTGGCTTCATCTGTCTGTTCCCTTCGACAACGTCCTTGCTGGAGCCAACCCTCGATTCTACGGCTTCGCTGTGCCTCTCATGGACAGGCAAGGTCGCTCCCGGTCCACTCATGTGCATCGTGAACACCTATTATTATTTCTGGTGTTCTTTGGCGTGACCGGCCCTCCTACTATCATGACCGGCCCTCCTCTGTTCCACGAAATAGCCGATTTGGTGAACTCTCCTCCCCTACTATGTCTGTCCGCCTACCCTTCTTCGTCTCACAAGCTCCAGGTTTGTTCTTGTTTACCGTTGTTATCTGCACAGACCCTCCCTGCAGGTCAACGTTTCCTCTTGGACCGACGAAAAAACGCGCGGCGGCATCTGGATATTTGCGAGCACTCGCGCGGGTTCAGGGGGGGGGGGAACGGACGTGTATATGTTTTACCTGGCTGAGGCCGCAGCCATACGCGAATGGGACTACAAGATGCAAAGACGAGCCGTCCGAGACCAGACAGGTGTGATGCAGGAGAAGAGTAGAGCACATCCACTGTACTACAGGATAATATTCTCCAATCATGTTTGTATATGTGCGCGTCAGACGATCAATCCGGTGAAGTAAACGACAAGAGTAACCGATCGATATCCAAATAGTCTGTATGTCTCTCCTCTTCAAGTTGCACCCCGTCAACAGGAAACACGGAGCACGGAACGTTTCAAACACGACACGGTTTTGGGCTGGTGATTTGGAGTGTCTGCGAGCGGCGTGATTGAGCATAAGAGAGTATGCATTCGATCAAGTCTGTCTGCCTCCCAGCATGTTTCGCCTATCTACACAGTACTGACGATAGACTAGTCCCTGTGAGCGTCATGTTCGTCGGTTTCAGTACATTTTCGTTTTCGTTTCCTTGCTTGGTGCCTCGCATGCTGGCGACCTGGGAACTATCTGGTGCCGATATGAGGTAGTTCCCAACATACATACATGCTGCAGGAGGCAATTTCTCCAGAAGGAAGGTAGGAACCAGGCGCGTCACACGCACGTAATGTGACGGCTACCAATTATTGCAATGGATGGTTACTCTTTGCCTCGAATATACTGCATGACTCCGCGGGGGCATCACAGACGACAGACGACAGGCTTAATGTGTAAAGGACAACCTTTCTTCATTGCAAGCAAGAAGAATAGCGCCAACACCGACGATATACAAGTAAAGGTCCATGCAAAGCACAATGCCAGCGCTAGGACTACTGCAATGAAGCAGCGTGGTGCTGTGGACGTCCACAGCGCATGGTATTCTGCAGCAAGCTTCCTCCCCCAGACTCAGTTTCATTTTTTCGCGTCTCGTCTTTCTGCGTGCCGGCCTTCATGGATAGTCTTCACGCTTACTCTCTTAACACGTTTTAGTCACTATCCGGGGTCACACCGGGGGAATTCTCTACCTTTCTTCCTACGGCCCTTGGCTTCAACTTTCTTCTAGAATTGTTCACTGGATAGCCCTCTCTCGCCATAGTACCCGTTGCATGTGGGAACGAGGCGGATTATGTAGGGACCTTCCGACCGCAGGAGGCTCTACTCTACACCACCGCAGCTTCTTTCACGCCAACGTTGCCCGGTTGCTACAACCGAGAAAAAATCGTCCTCGGTATGCACGTGGACTACAGCACACACCCATGCGTTGCGCATCGCCATTCACAGGCCTCACTATACATAGTTACCCGGACGCCAAACAAAGTGTACGTCACGGGCATAAATACAAAACCGTCGATACACAGTTTCGGTCTACGTGATGCACGTATCTAACGTTAGATACTATGCAGCCGACGACAAAAACACCGCGGGCAGCAAGCACAAACAGGTAGTGGGCGCGTATCGCCTGAGTTGCCCAAGCGGTGCACCATTCGTCAAGTTTGTAACGACGGAAGAGCGTACTGCCGGGGAGGGGTGGGGGCCAACATGGCAGGTTTACTTTCTGGGGGAAGTTTTCTCAAGGGGTGCTCGACGAAGTAATAAATACTGTGGGCGGTAGCACCGACCAAGGAAATGAGTTGGAGACTTAAGATGGATGTGCATGACACCGCCTGATGAATGTTGGATTACAAAGTGCTACTGCAGGCGTGAATGGACGTGCACCTACCTATGGTCTAGTGGGTACTTGACAGGTGCGCATACGTCGAATGAACACCGTACGCACAGCAGTGGCTGGCGCGTTACGGGGGCTCATGATGACAACTATCTGTGATCTCCAACACAATATGTTGCTCGATCTATTCGAACAAGACGATGATAGGGCGTTGGTCGCAAAGGGTGTAGGGGTTGAGTACAGGACTCTGTTGGCCCAAGTGATTTGAGTCTTTTTTCGGTGGCAGTCTCGGCGCCGAAAGTTTCACGATGCTGCCGTTACGTCGTAGTTTTTCGCAAGACGAATGTGTGTATGCATGTGGCAGCAATCAACGAGCTTCTGTTTCATGCATATTCGCCGAATGTGCCTGCCCTAACACTGCAGCCCGCTCAGAGTGCTTCGTGTTTTCTGTCGGGTCCGGCGACGGAGCAGTCAGCGAACAATTTCCCTTCTCCAAGAAAATACAAGAGAAGAAAGGGTCCTTGGGACTCTAACGCAAGAACATCGTTCAGACTACGATAGATACTGCTTTGAGCGTGGGAGGGTATCAGGCAAGGTTATTATCTTGTCTCTTGTTATCCTCGAGTGCACAAAGGGCGAGGGAGAGAGGGCGCCACGCGAAGAAAGCTCCGAGCGCGCTCGAAATTGAAATATGGTTCGACGTTCTTCCCGGGAAATTGGCCCACGGTCCCGAAAAAGACAATCTTCCGCCGCCAAAAAAGTGCCTTCGCTTTCCCCCCTACGGCGTGTCCTAGAATTTCATGGAGGTGAAGTTAAAGACAGGGCTACCAGTGACGGTTGCGGGCAGTACAGTTCTGGCCCCGTCCCCATCGTGCCCACAACGCCGAGAACATTCTTTATTCTCGTCTTGAAAAGGAAGGCTCGGGGATTTCTGGAGCATCTGTGCATGCCGTGGCTTCAGGTTTCCGATATCCACCTAACGTATGTTTTTTTAGCGTTAGCCAGTTGAGGACGCACGCCAAGCAATTGCGCCCGTCATAAACACGCAACGTCCGCGCACTATCCGATGTGTGCGGATGCCCAGCGCTGAAAACGCGAGCAGCCTTCCGTCCTTGGCTTAAGAGACGTGAAACTGCGACACTTTCATGTAACAAGGTAAATATACGACTTTCATGTATTTAGATAATATACGTCTTCCTTCCATGCGCGTCCAACAATGCATGAATTTGTTGATGTTTAACTTCCACTCGAAAATGCCACCCAACCACCCTCCCCCACAAGGAAACACGCCCACTCCACACCACTGGCACCACTCGACATGAAGACATCGATCAAGGCTAAACCCCCACCCGATTACCCTCCAGCCCCTGCACAAGGCGTTCCCTGGGTGCAACTTTTACACAAACCAGACCCGACGCGTGTCGGCACACACCCGCCCGTGTCCTGCTTTCGATCAACAAAAACGGAACCGCTGGCTACTCTCACGATCAAACACCCAACACACAGCAGCACACCCACCTCGCCTCAAAGGTGATAAGGACCCTACCACCCCCACCATGCCAACCCCCTCATCACCGAAAAGCCCCTCCTCCCTTGCACAAGGCGTCCTGTGTAAATATCGACCAAACAATCGAACCCAAACGCCAAGCGGGGGACACCTGAGGCCCACACACATCTTCCATTCTATACAAAAAATGGGGAAGTCAACCGTAAAATATTGACGGACCCGCCCCTTTTCCACACGGGAAACGTCGACCATGCACAGAAATTTTCGCACGTGGCTCTACGACGAAAATGGCAATTGCCTGCCATCCCCTTGCTTTCACCATGCACAGTCCCCGCCCCCACCTCACCACTGCCGCTCCTACGGGTTAGGCATGTTCCACAGGAATGTTCCATGGAAAGTTCCGTGGACGGCGTCACCGCAATCGACTCGCCTCTGGCGCAGCTCCTATCGCCCGCCCCCCCTCGCTGAAAATTGTTTCTGACGTAAAGCTATGAAGAAAAACGCAATCACCTAAAACTGGAGACAAATCATTACCACCGCAATTCGTGTACAGCGACCACGGTTCGAACTGATGCACCGACCAGCCCAGAGCAATGTTCCTCCGTTGGGTCATGCATGAATGCTGACCAATGGGAGCCCCTCTATCTTCTCTAGGATAGATGCGCCACGCTTGACACGCCTCCCCCCCCCTCAATCGATAATCCTCCACTGCTGTCCGCCACCCCCCCCCCCATGTGCCTCAAGCGCCACAAACTCGGCTAAACACGTAATGCCACATGGGTGCCGACAGCCGACGGCGTAAAAATATTTGCTGAGCTGACTTTAACCACAACCACGACCAACACCCCGCCGATATGAAAACGCAATTCGTGGAACAACAAGTGGGACACACGCCGTACACGCTGGCATGTTTATCACTCACCCTATACATCAGCACAACCACAGAGCCAATCGCACTCCCTCCATCCAGCCGCGCAAATATTCGCTGTTGAAATCTTGACGCGGACTGGCCCAATCCTTTCGTCGATAGGCGCGACACACGAAAAACAAAAGCTTCTCTCTACTTGGAGTAGTCTACATTTGCTCAGAACCCGAAACACACAATATGTCCAACATCCAACGTCGTACTACTCCACGCACATGTCTTTCGGAACAACGCATCTAGAACTTTGATACGAAAACAAAATGAGAAGCATTTGGGTATTTTCGCTGGACACCCTAGACACGTCCCAGCCTCCCGCCTACCGAACGAATGGTAAAAATCAGTACTTTTGATGCTGCCCCCCGTCCCAACCATCCTGCGACGAGGCTCCAACAGAATAATATGTACCAAATTATGTAAATCAAAAGCTCGTCAGTAATTGTTGTATCTGAAATTTGGCAATGGAAACTTCGGGTGAAGCTCCACCATCCAACCCCGGTCTGTCCGTTTCATTTTTGTTTGCCTCTCTCTCTCTCGCTATGCCTTATTCTCTGTCTCTGCCCCTACCCGCCTCTTTCTCCCCCCCTCACTCCTTCTTTGTCTCTGTATCTCCTCCACCCGTCTTTCTCTCATCTATTCTCCTTGTCTGTCTTCGCAATCGTGTGGCATCCCTCCCTCCCTCCCTCTCTCGTTCTCTTTCCCATTTTCCACGACGAAGATGGGGGCCAAACGACGCACAGAAGGGCACAAGAACGTATGAACGGCGGCAGTACGAAGGGTTCGGCGCAACCATGCATTCCATGTTGCCGTACTTCCTCTCACACTCCATTCGATCCAAAGTCTTCCCCCCCTCCAAGGGATCAAAAGGTCTAGATAGAGTAGTTCGGCTTCACAGCCTCCTCTGTCAGTGCAGTCGAGGGGTAGAGTCGCTCACGGCTACGAACGCCTTTTTCCGCCAACGTTCTCGCTCACCGGCGTACCCTTCGATTCACTGGAGCCCCCCCCTCTCTTCTCTCTCGGGCCTTTCGGCACTCCCGCCGCCGACCGCCGCAGTCCCATCACCGAGACGCATTCTCGATGCAAACCTTGCACCTCTCCGAGCCGGGCTTGCACGCCAGCTGCTTCTTGCTGAAGTCCGTGAAGGGCTTGTGCGTGTTGCAAGCGTGGCAGAGCACCACCGACCCCAGGTCCTTCTCCACGCAGAGCATGCAGCGCTCGATGCCGGCGCGGCGGCGGAGTTGATTGATGCCGAACGACGAGGTAGTTTTCACTTGGCAGCAAGCAACGCAGCGGACTACGCCCTCGCCCGCGGCGGGCGCCACCCGAGAAGGGGGCGCCGCGACCGTTCCCTCACTCATGAGGCACACCTGGCACACCTCCCTTGCGGACCTGGCCAGCTGGTTGCGAGAGTACTCCGAGGCAGGCTTTCGCTCCCCGCAGACGGTACACGTGATGGCGCCACTCGCCGATGCGCCCTGTCGTGCGTGCGTGTGGGCGAACAAAATAACCGAGGAGATTGGTTGGATGTATTGATGTACGATCTTGTAAACACACGGCTGCGGAGCAGCGGGGGGAAATACTGACAAGGGGTATTGTACCGATAAGGAGGTTAAATATGCCTACAATGGTTCTAGACTAAGGAAGAGCGGGCGTCGTACGTGTACGTAAAAATGTTACGTTTTGTTTCGTCGGGATTTGGGGATGCCGACTTCAGCACCGTGCTCTCCGCGACGGCTGGGGGCGTGAGGATGGGAAGGGAATTGTTTCACCAGAAAAGTGCGTTTAATGCCATACCTGGGAGAGGGGGAGAACAAGCCGAGCAATAAGTTCATTTGCGTCCGCCAAACACTTGGATTCGATGAGGGCGACGTTCTTCAGTTAGCCCTCGGCGCACACTTAAAACATCAAATTACAAAAAGGTATGGTTATGTGCCGGGCACCAGCCATGATTGTAGTATAGGGCAGGCGAGTCAAAGCTCGGCCGGTCTGGTCTGGTCGCCTACATTGGGAAAAAATCACCCTGTGTCGTATTGAAAAAAATATCGGTATCAAAGTAACCTCTAGGCTCGTCCGACGGTCTGACCGACATAGGCGAGTAGGATGATTTTCTCTGAAAAAAGGGAAGCCTACTTTCTCACCTGCATGTTTGCCCCTCGCGTGCTAGCGCTGCTGATGCTACTTCCACGGGTGCTGCAGCTCTAGTGCGGTGAACAAGCCCTATCTCCAGGGGGAGGCTCACGGAAGCGTTGACGATGCGGGGGCTTGAGACGATGGCCGCGGGCGCAGGAATCTAGCGGATGGTGTTGCGGTGTGCGGGAGTGATAAGGTGGGTCCCCTTTACCCCTGGAGTCAGGGGCTGCGCGGAAAGGCCGGGGGGGGATGGACGGAGCCTCTTCGATTTCGACCCGCCCGTAGCCCACTCTCGGACAGAACAACCAACAACATTCCCACCTCCAATCATTCGCCAGTTGCGAACAAAACATGGGAAAAATGCACAAGGCACGCGCCTCGTGTATGAAACTGCAAGGGCGTGGTGTGGTTGAATCTGGCAGCTTTCGGCTGGCGTTAGTTCCATCTCGGTGTTTTTGCGGAGGGGGCCGGAAAGGTGGCGGCGAACGGGAAGCACGTGGCACACACAACATACCGACACTGCGGAGGGTGGGCGTGGGCGAGTCGGCGGTAGCAGCAAGAAATGACCGACAAAGTCGCATCAGTAAGGAGACGGAGAAACTTTGTGGCTACAGCAACACACTTGATGTGCGGTAGGCATATACACGTTTTTGGATCCGCCAGAACTGAACGACAGACTTTATTTCATCCAATCCGATTAATCTTAATATTTGGTGCTGGAGCAGCCTGCCCTCTACCGCACCACTTTGCGACGATCGACCGGAAAGCGAAAGAGCTCTCTGTAAACCCCCCGGGGCCGAGAGGTGTCGATAGGTCCAAGTGACATGCGCTCACGCCAAACGGTACAACGATGTCCTTGATGTCTTGGGCTCGAACCTATTAAGGCGACTTGGATCTAAGATACAAATGGGGTACGTACCCAGGCCGTGACATCACCGACAAGCCCACTTTCGCACCGAAACAATTTAAGGGTGTACCGAGTTGGAGGAGCAGAAGTCGTCGTGTGGTTGGCGCTTTGCGGCGCGGCTTTTTTTTATTTGCTCCTCGGAGAAAGTATTCAACCAAGTGTGTATGGTCTTGACAGATCTATGGTTGTCGTGGACTCTTGTTGCTGGCCTCGCGGAGCCGGTGACGGAACAGCAACAACAACAACAACAAGACGGAGTGACTTCAAAAGTTAGTACTGACGTATGCATCTGTTAGCAGCGTGGCTTGGAACACATTCACGCAATCCTGGCATCCTCACACGCACGCCACTACACGCCGGAACTACGGCCCTATACCCGCTGGTGTTGTGTGAATGGGAATGGGACAATATATCGTACAGGTTATGTGCGTGGTTATTTTTACCCGACCGACCGACCGTACGATCAATCATCATCTTCCGGCCCAAAAGATATGCGTCACACCAGCAAAGATTTCATGCGGAGCTTGTTGTCCTAGCTTGTTCTGGAGGGTTACCCCACTCTTACTGCCGTTCACGGACAGGAACTCGCAGCCACGGCTGCCGGAGGACAATAATGGATACATGTAGCTATACTGTGCGCTGCATTGGTTGATTCGGTGGCGGGCACCATGATCCAACCGTTGCTCTGAGCCATTACTTCACCCTAGTATCGCAGATATTTTCCAGTCCTATGCGCCATACTAGGGTTGAGGATGGATATCATCCACCCTCACGTAGTCGTGCGGGACGGGGGTGTAACGCGTGGGGCTCACACCCGCCCAGTGTCCAAGTGCAAATAGACGATCGTTGCACCGATTTCATCATGTTGATTCCGCCGCTTCTTCCAGGCCGTGGGGCAGGGACAAAGGGGGGGTTCGCACGAATCGGCGGAGCCCCCCCGCGGAACCCAGCAACATTGGTGCTTGCGAACAAACTAAATAACAATAGCATAGAAAGCTTACTCCTGCACGGCCGGGCCCTCCTCTCCATTCCAAGGGGACCACGACTCGGTTCTACGGTTCGGGATCTCCAGGAACCGTCTGAGGTAAGGGTGTGGGGCGGGAATGTTTCGATGCTTCGGTCACGAACGAATCTGCGTGCTGCACACATGTACAACTAGACCACGAAGACGCACGTTCGGTCTTTGGTACCTTGTCACCTTGCCTTGCCCACGTGGCCTTGTCGTCGCCGATCTCTCTCGGGCTCGAGCGGCTGTCACCGAGGATATCATGCCGCGTCGAAGCCACTAGTGGCATGTGTATATTTGAAATGGGAGATGGGATGATTGTCCAACAAGGGGAAGAGCTGCTGCCGTAACTACACCTTCTCCTCTTTCCAGACCTTTTCCCCCGCCACGCACTTGCAAATGTGCTGTCCCACACCACGCCGCACCGGCGTGCGGTGTCTCTCCCTTACCCACAGAACCACCGCAGGCTTCCCGGTGGGGTGTCGGTGCGTTCCGTGGAAGGAGGGACTGTCGTGCTTGCGCCCGAGTCCGGAGTCGGCGCTCACCATCGCGTATAGCGCGACGTATTTTTCTGGTATTTTTTCGCAATCGGAAGCAGCCGGAGTCCCTTTTTTTCCCAAAGAACGGGCCGAAAGCGGCGGCTGCCAGGATGAAATCCCTGTATCGGAAGGTGGAGAGCTTCGACGGGCAAACCATCACCATAAACGGGAAGCCCAGCTACGAGCTCGGCAGCTTCCTTGGGGGAGGGGCGGCTGGAGTGGTGTATGAGGTGGGTAACAAAACCTCAACATGCCTGCTGTTGTCGCCGTATGTAACATGGTAGAAGACACGGAACCTCTGCAGCTTTTTAGAAAGCGAACGTTTTTATCGAACCTCACAGAAAGACTACCCGTCTGCTGCTTTTTGTTTGCACATAACCAAGAATGTACGTTGTGCGTATTACTGCTGTAGTTTCGAATGTTTCGCCTCCCCCCAAGTTCGTACGCGAGTTGGGCTCAAAACCTGGTCAGGGCTGTTGGTGTAGTGTAGCGAGGGGGAAGCTAACCTCCCCCCCCCCCCCCCATTGTTTCCTGAGGAAAGATCGCTGCTTTTTGGTGGAAGTCTTGAAGCTTTCCTTGTGGCGGTTGGCGGGTTCAAGAAGGGAGTTCCGTGTTTTCTTGGCGTTCTGCTTTTTTCTGTCGCCGTTTTTGGTCGTTCCACGAGCCAGTGGACAACCGTCAGTTGAAGCGTACCCCTCCTCTCAATAGGGTGTGTATCTGCCGGTGCTCAAGACGGAGTAGAGTGGGGCAGACTGAACTTCTTGCTGGGACACAGGGGAGAGGGTTGGAATTTATCGGGTTTGATGGTTAGTGGTGTTGTAAAAACTACCATCTTGTGAAGGAGACGGCACAAACAGCACCACACCTGCCTCTCCCGACTTGTACATGCATATGCATGGCATGACTCGCTCTCTGACGATGAAACACATTCATACACCGGTCGCCCCGGTGGTCCAGTGGGTACCCTCGCAGCCTGCTAAGGGCCAGGTCATGGGTTCGAGTCCGTGCAGGGTGAGTTTTTTCTCGCTAACTAAATCCTGGTCTCAGTTGGAAGTGCGCGCTGCAAAGCTCGTTGTTAGTAAACCATAATCGACTTCGTAAGTCGCGAGGGAAGGAATTGCTGTACCCTTCTCGCGATAAAAATATCTCAGACAGGAACCGCAGGAGGGGGTCCAACCCCCCCCTCTTGTGTGACCCCGGTTGGGTCGTCTAGCTAGTAGAAGTGGAGGAAAGGGGCCAGAGGGGCAGACGACAGAGTCCAATGATGGGGGG